TGAATTATGTCCAACAACGCAATGAACGACAGATGGAACGCGCGAAATCGTTTAAGTAAAACGGGAGAATATTTTTTTGTTTGCCTTTGGATTTCAAGTGCCGAAACACTTCTGTAATAATAATACATCATCCCTCTAAATGTACTAAAAAAAGGTTATTTACGTATTTTTTCGGCAGAAAAACCGAAGGAATTAAGTTTAATTTGAGGTTATGTCACAACTTGCGGCATCAGCTGTCATATTTTCTAATATTACAAATAAAAAATGTATTCTCATATTCAATTTGACACAAACTTTTATCCGGTAATTTCTTAATAGAAAACCCCTGAAGTTTACATGTTTTGGTGAAATTCTGCCAGTACAGGTTTTGTTATCGTAATCATTTTGACATGAATTAATTACAGCTGTGAAAAACTCATTTATTTGATTATTTAATGCTCTCATTTAATGACAAAAAGTTTCCAATTTCCAATACGAAGATATACAATTAAATACAATAAGAATAATATGAACGATATTTTTCCCGTAATATATCGAATAAGGCCAACTGTTTTGTTTGAATCAAAGTTTTTTGACCCAAATTCTACCGAGAAAGTATCTTAGAGTGGGTTTAAAGATCCATTTGTGAATTGAAACGGCTTATTCATCTGTAACTCTATACTCCACTGACACAGATCTTCAGTTTATAGCGAAGACAAAGACTGTAAAACAATTGTTTGTACGAAAACTTTATTTATTCAAGACGATGGCAAAAGAAAATTGAAGTTAAACTGGAAAACGAAAATATAGTTTAAAATCTAGAAAAATGTGCTGTTAGTTCGAAGTGAAAATATTTCGCGGCATTATAAAATTTCCATTAACTGCCATTGTGCCGCAGTAGCTATTGCGTGCTGACTAAAGGTAGAGATAATATAAAGACCGTATACATAGTACATGAATATACTTGTATTGTGTGCCTTTATTCCACTTCCATGCCTATTTTGATTCACACAGTGATTGTGGCGAATAAAAGTGCACAGTGCAAAACTTTTAATAGACACGCGTGTCAAATCTGTGCCATAACTTCTCTTAACGAATTTAAAATTGGAATGCGCGGGACTTGCCAGATTGCCGACCGGCTTCGTATTCGATTTTTAAACGTTTTCCTATTTTGAAAAAAGATATTTTTTTTTAAATTATATGAACAAAGCGTGTACTATTATATTGTGCCTTGAATATATATACATGTTTATTTCACGATGTTTTTGTTTTAGCAGCGCATATCTAAATATATATTTTTTGTTTATTTTAGTTGTATACAGTTAGAATTAGTAATTGTGTAACAGGCCTGGCAGCATGTCTCATGTTACTAATAATGATGCGCCTTAGTTCCTTGCGAGCATATTGAAATCAATTGTTTTCAATAAATGTACTCGAGAGATATTTTTGTTAAATTTTACTCCGAATTTGTCAATGAGAATTATTATTAAAGTAATTAATTATCGTAAATATTCGTTCTGAAATAAAATCGTGTCATCGCCTACTCAAATTACGTAGCACAAAGAATATAGAAAGACCATGTTATTGTTTAACTTTTTAATTAATTTAATAATTTTTAATAGAAACATTTTTTTTTAACTTAGACATCTTGACGTATTTAGCGAGAAGAGATAGTTGTGATTTTTTATGCTTTTTAAATCATTGTATTTACAATATGTTTTGTATTGGCTGAAGTTTTATGTTTACAATTTGAGATATTAATCTTATACACGTGTTTCGTGGTGACGTAGCGAGGATAACTACATAGAGTTATTCATCTTGACAGCACTAAAAAATTAATACTCTATCACGCTCTAAAAGGGTATAGCGAAATTAAAATATTTGTCAGTTTTATGATTCAAACATTCATGATTTATTTACATGTGTGATGTGTGCGGAAATATGTGCGGACAACCATAGCCGGCTGTTTAATAAATCTTAAACCAAAAATCGATTTTTAATTTACAGTCCGATTTTTTATTAAAAATCTAGTCACCCTACAGCAGTAAAACTGCATGAAGATACGTCGTGATCTTGTTGGCAGTGAGACCGCTTCTAGTGTGATCCAATTTTATTGGCGACACTACACGTGGACGAAGTACATTATTGTATACACGGATGCCTAGAGCAACGCTATTATAGCATAAAAAACTGTTGCAGTCAAAGCTTACTACTATTATATTGTCATCATCTCATAAAAAACTACATTCATAGCAGAATGTCTTCGTACAAGTGTTCCAGCACAGTAGAAAATAACGATAATTTATCCGTTTAAACAAAAAAACACAGACGTCTAAAAATATTTATTTATCTAAAACCATAAAAAAGAATTAATGTTGGATATATAGACAACGATCTAAGCTATCAACAAATCTAAAGCTAGTTACAAATAATCTAAGTTAATTTACGATTTACGGCCTAAATGAACGCAATATATTTGTTTAGAGATATTGTATATGAACGGTATAACACAATTTAACAATATATTAACTATTAGAGACATTGAAAATATTTTTGGTGTTTCCGCAAATACATTAAGCAACCAGCGTCGTTTTCCTTATAATGTATTGACGTCGAAACAATTATTATTTATATCACTCGCAGTGTAATCGACTGAATAGCAAAAACTATAATTTAAGTTCACGGTACATATGTTATTACGTCAACACACAAGTTTCGTTACAGACAGATTAAAAAAATTTTTTAGAAATGTACGTAATTTAATAAACTACTTTTTAGATCGTTTTAAACTTAATACGTATTTAAAAAATCTTAGCGTAAACTTCAGAATGTTATCATAAAGATAAAAATCGCATTTATTTTTTTAATTTTTCAAATTAATTTCAATGATCAACGAAAGCTAACAAAAGATCAACCCTGTTCCAATTTGAAACGTGTATGTTCACAATGAGTTTTGTTAAGAAAAATTCAAGGAATATTTCAAGTTCAATAACCTTTGACAAATGTTAAACATCCAATATATCATCATTCTATATATTTAATTATTTCTTATCAATTGCCTATAGTTCAATGTATATCAAATCTAAGAAATTATGTTAAATTAGAAGCAATAAGCTATTACCAGTAAATTTATACGATTAAAAGATAAATTCGCTTTACTATAACACCGATGTATATTATCTAATAAGCCCAGACTGTCTCAGACAGCCAAAACAAAAATAACTTCAGCCTATACGATAGCAGAAAAACGGTTACGGCAACACCGGTCAGGTGATTTCCAATTGTTACAAGTTAAAACTAATCTCAGTTAATTTCCGTTTAACGGCGTAAATTACGCAATATATTTACTTTCATAAGATACTCTACATTGCTCTTTCTATATTAACGAGATGTTTTATATAACATAAAATTCCTAACTTCGTACAGTAATTATCTAAAATTGAAACATTTTGGCGCCTTAACCCAAATCAAATAGTTTCGAAAATGCCTTACATTTAATAATTTCACAGATATCATAACGATATGTTTATAGATTATAAGTATTCATGATCTTGCTTAGTTCTATAATATAGCCTAGTCGGTATTAAATCCGCTTTGGTTTATAAAACCTGGCTCCCATAACATTTATCTCGTCTCATCTTTAGTTTAGAAATCAAAGAAATGCCATGACTCTTTTTTGTAAATATACAACAGCTGACAATGGTACATTTTAATGGGGCTTGCCTAGTGTAGGCTTGTCGGCATGTCCTTGAGTTTCTGTTAGTAGAGTAAGATGATGTCATAACGCGGAGTCTACAGCTAAGTTCCTTTTCCCATTCGTAAAGGCCTACTGCGACATTTTACAAAGTAATTGACATCTTATATGAAATATTTATAATATCTTAACTTTAAAAAAATAAATATTGTTTTGATTTGTTTACTTATTTTAAGATATATACATTTGCTAACATTTCGCGAAGTATTAAATTCTTAAATATTTACCATTTATGAAGAATCATACACACCTTTATTATAATTAATCCAATGGAGAATCTATGTAAGCATATAACAAGGTGTTACATAAATATAACTAATTATAGGACGCAAGGGCATCGACAATTTTTGCAGTGTTGTTTCCAAATGTTCAATGAGAATTCACGCGGGTCCAGTTTACAGTTAGCACATCACTATTATATTATAAGAAGGGTTTTTACTACTCACTAATATTGGTTTTTATTATAATACTAAACACTATAGAACATGTTAGTTAATCGATGTAACGCGTGGCCGGCGTAATTCGCCGGGCCTTTCTAACAGCGACCCACCCAGCGACTGACATTGCTTTTTGTGCGTTCGATTTAGCGCTCATCTGACTCACAGTATTACAGTAGAGGTAGAACCACTGATCTCTATAAATGGAAAGGCTATTGCTTAGAAACGACTGCCTTTGCTTCGTTCAGACTTAAACGCACCGGTTGAAGTTCTTGACAGTTAATTCTATCTTTATTATTAGTTTAACTCCTCACTACAGCTATTAACCGCAATCTTCAGCGCCAAAATGGCAAAAATCAAATAGGCACAAAATACCACAGTTTATAACCTATCCATATATAGAGGTCAGCGGGTAGAGCGAAGCAAAGCGAATTTCCTGTCTATGTGTCAACACATTGATAAAAACGCCATCTAGTTTTTATTCTTAACACTACCAAAACAAGAATTTTTAATGAACGATAAAAACAGTGTGCTTAAGGTGACAGTATGAAATATTTGAATATTTCTAACAAGCCGAAAATGTTTAAGTCTTGTATTGAATTTCCATTTAAGACAAAAATTATTATTTATGAAGGAAAATGTTCTTGCATGATACTATCTGGAACGGGCGTAACGTGTACAAAAACCTGCCACTATAATCTTATTTGTTTATTACCAATATTTTAAGAAAAAAATAACATTCTTGATAACTTTTCCTGTATTTTGATACTCCGATAATTATTTTGTAACATTTTTGGGTTGATAGTTAACAGGAAATTAAAAGACAAATATAATTCAGATTCAATTTATTCCAATAAAGTTATAATTAACTTTATTAATATATTTGTGCACTTACACTTACTTCTCCTTCTTATCAGAGATGAGTGAATTGTAGAGTTTGGTTATCTCATTAAGTACCAAGTTATGTACCACAGTACCATTAATATCAATGTAATTGGCAAAAGATTTGGTTATAGAAGCTTCTCGGGTCTTTCCATTTGAATCTACCATCACAAGGATTAAATTGTATTTATCGTCATGCCTGAAATATAATTAATTACATTACAAACTTCTATGAAATATTCACTACTGATAAAAATTAAATTTCAAATAAAACCTTCAATATTTCTTTTCAAATAAATCTTAATTCTTTAGTTTGATTTATTTTATTAACCATTTTTTTTGATAAATACAATAGCATTTAATTTCCAAACATAAAAAAATAATCTTCAGAAAATGCAAAAAGGAAATTAAATTTACAATCAATAAAGTAGTATAGTATTTTCCTTTAAAAAACTTACTTCTTCACATAAGAACTTGCTTCCCAAGTCCTGATATTGTTACCTCCTTTTTCTGTGGCCACAACAAATACGCCTTTTTCTTTAAATGTAGTGTACAGTGTCAAAACACCCATGAGAATGAAATACGTAGACACACAGACGATAAGCAGCAGTCTAAAAAAAAATTTATTTAATACTCCACAGCCATTTCCTCTTTTTAACTGTCCTGTGAAATATCTGAAGAAATACTATGGAAATGAAATGAATATATGAAAATACTTTTTATAATCTATCTTAACATTTATCGTTTAAATAGATTATACCCCACCAATGGGTAAAAAAAACAGAGCAGACTTGCTTTAATAACATCTCAAGACTATTACCTGGACTCCGGGAATGGGTACAGATAATCAAATAGCAAAGCGTACAGAGCCACGCCAACTGCTATGGCACAGAGAGTGAGACGCCCATCAATTAGTCTGAAGCTTTCTGTGCATTTCAGATCTTCAGTGAATACCTGTATAACATATTTTTCATTGCAGAGTTACTGTTGTTCAGAATCAAATAAAACACTATAATTTTTAGACTCACCTCTCTAATTGCATCATCAATGGCATTTTTAGCTGCTGCACCATCCCATTTGTTTATTTTTACGACCTGCAAATTAAGTACATTTCAAATTAAAAAATTCGAATTTGTATTTGGAAATTTGGTAAAGATATCGGCTAAAATAGTCAAAACTATTTCATTTAGATAAATTACACACTTAATTTAAGTATAAATAACTTGATATTAGCTTTAAAAAGTTTTGTAAAGCCGTGACGTGTCTCAACCATCTTAACCGATTTGTTTTATTGTTGAGTCGGCATAATAATACCTCATTAGTTTCACCCATCTCAATTACTTTCCTCTCAAAATTACACAATACTAATTAATTATTTTAGTGTCTAAAGATATTATAGTACAAGACCGACACATTAATATTTACACATGTGTAAATATCAGGGGGTGGAAACTTAGAAGAAGGACGGTTTGTATGGAAAGTGGCGCCACCTTTTATATAATGGTAAACATCATTTCATCTCATGGCTGAGAAGAAGCATCATTTCTGTCATCGAGACATTCATGTGTCATCAAACCGCTACGTTTTTTCGTATTTCTATTTCTGTTCTTGTATTCTTAGTTAAATGTTGTTTCATTCATTTTGTTTTTAATTAAAATGTGTTTTCGTGAAAAATGACGCTGTACACAACTGTGTTTTAGATGGACTGATTATGGTAAGTTACAATTCAATAAAAAATTTCATGTTTTTCCCATACGTCAGACTCATTTAAACATTTAAATATTTTCGTATTTTGGTGTAGTTTTTAGCACCACAGTGATTTATCCTTTCCGGTTATCATATTGAATGGTGCCCTACTTCTAATACATTTTACATATCAGTTCCTATACTTGATAGGAAATCACATTCTGTTTGTTTGTTGTAGGTGCACATATACACGGTTTCCCCCTTCCTGAGAGACGGTCAGTGATGTTCAGAAAATGTGTGCCAATCACTGGAATTATAGAGCCATAAACTGATGTGTCTGAAATTAGTAGGTGGGTCCATGTGTGTATATGTAAAAAATATATTTTTTTATTTGTAATTTTTTATTGTAAAGAAAAATTTGCTTGCCTATGTTTGTAAGAGAATATGTTCAGAGTGTTTAAACTCGCAAATAACTACAAATTGCCAGTTGCCAGCTAGCATATGACTGAAAATATTTTGGGGTTTGGTTTTAATTACAGGGTATGCATTCTTTTGTGACCGCGCTATACTATTTATTACCGTAAATGTAATTTTCAAATATATATATATTAAAAATTAAAATATTGAGCTGATATCTTGAAAGTCATTGATGTATATGTACTTGCATAGATTTAAAATTAAGTTATGTAGAAATATAATAAATAATGTACAAAAATATAAAAATATTTTGTTTTTATTTCCCCAATGATAATAGGATCATTTTAATAGAGGTATTTCATAGAAGGCTACTTGATATCGGCTCACTATATTAATAACTACATAAGTGGGTATATTATTTTTGAACATTGATTTAATGTCAATTTTAACTTTATTAGATTCCCACTTATTAGTTATTATTATAGTGAGCTAAATAAGCGTGCCTACGTATATAGGTACCAAAAAAAAAAAAAAATTAGTTCAGCGATTATACGCATGGAGCGCCACAATCGCCGTGGATCCACGACTTCGTGCGAGTTGCCCCTCTTTCTATAGTATACTTATTATACTCTTTGGTAAATATGAATATGCGGTTGATTGATGTGTAAATGAAATGTCAAAAGTGTTAAGAATGTTTTTTTTTTAATTTTATGACCTGGTAACATAGACCTTTAGGTCATTGTAAAGAATGAATATCCGCACACCAAAGATTAGGTAAACAGAATCAACAAATTTCGGACAAAGGGTAATAAAAATTACTATGAAACAACCGTTCAAGATAAAGCCGGAAAATCGATTCCATTGACTACCTCGAAAACAAACTTTTGAAAAAGCTTCTCTTGCAAAAATAAAAGTTGGTTCGAAGATGTAATAAGCATTATTTATAAATAGAGAAATGAGAACTGAATTTTGTAATAAATCTAGGTGTTTAAATTTTTTTGCAATAAGCTTGTATTACTACCTAAAAATTGGGAAATTTTGCAGTAAATGGAAATCGTTCAATGTTTTGATAAATATGCTTTGCGTATTCCTCATTTTATCTGACAACTAATTCGTGATAATTATGGAGTTTATCAGGAGTACAATGCAATTTGCAATACAACTTAGTTAAAAGTATGAATAATATGAACGAAATGAAAATGTTTTTAGTCTGGAAAAACATGAAGTAAGTAATCCTTACTGTCACTTAACAAAATAATAGAATGCATAACAAAAAATTTCATCAGAAACGTGAATAATGGGACATTTGTAAAGATACTTGTGGTAACACTAAAAAGTAGTGATGTTCTTGAGTAAGAAAATAAAGCTATAACGATTTAATATTTGTATTGGCGCGAACTCTGCATCGATTCATCACTATATTTGAGTAATACTCTGCTCTAGATGGTCATTGATAGATGCTAAAAAATTAATGGACTGGTCAAAAATGAAGTGGCTTTATATCAACTTGATTTAATAGTGAAAGCATTTTGAAGTAATCATAATATATATTGGCGGATAACAAACGTAGACATAGTTTACGGTGTAAAAGTAATGGTATGTAACATTGTCATTGTTAATTATTGAAAGGTTTGGACCGGTGGGTTACGCTGTGTGAACGTTCTTCTGTTCTGAATTCTGTTGTGTTGTTAGAATTTTACTAATATCTTATATTACCTTTTAAGTCAGGACTTTCCTTTTTAGATTATATGTTTACCATGTGGTACGCAAAACAAGTACCATGTAAATTAAAGAGGTCAGTTTGTTGATGCTAATGAGAGTATATTACATTTTTAGGTTGTTTGCTTCAACGATTTGCGATGGCAAAGAAAAGGAAACCCACAACGCAACTCGCCGCTCGGCGGTCTGCCCGCCGCGGGAAGAAGGCCACTATTGAGCAGGTTGCCTTGGAAGGCGAAACATCTACCACTGTAGAAGCGACAAACTCAGACACACAATCTAAGCCCCCCGAGACATCCAGTGCAAAAGTTGAAGAGACAACAAGTACATCAATTGCACAACTGTCCCAATCTCAAAATTGGAATCCCACTGTTAAAATTTGCCCACCTGTAGGGTTACATAAGAAATTTGGTAAATATCGTTGTTTATTCAGCAGTGATGAAACTTTGAGTAGAAAGAGTGAAGTATGTAGTGATAGTGAAACAAACAGTAGTATTGATACAAAAGTAGTTGACCTTTGTGGTAGCTCAGAGTCTGATTCAAATACTGCAATAGAGATTCAATCGGATACAAACAGTTCTGCAAGCCCTAGTCCCCTGAGCATTGTGTTAAACCCACCACAAAGTCATAGCAACATACCACTACCTACATCGTCACAATCTTCTCAAGTATTTGTACTAAATGAGGACACTATTGTAAATGAGGACCCTGTTGTAAATGAGGACCGTGCTGATAATGAGGACCGTGCTGATAATGAGGACCCTGTTGTAAATGAGGACCTTGTGGTAAATGAGGACCCTGTGGTAAATATTGAAAGCAATGTGCCGCAAATTCCTTTGCCAAACGAAACCTCTATAGTGGATAATGATGACCAACCAGTAAGTGATAAAGATAATGACAAAGAATTACAGGACAAAAACATTCCATCTGTAGAACAAATTGAGTATGCTTGTGATGATGAAGAAATTATTACGGTTGTTCAAATTGTGGAGGATGAAAATCAAGAGCTTTATTATGATATTAAAATAGATAGTCCAAAAAATGAGGCTCCAAAACAAATAAATGAAGATGAAGAGTGCAAAAATTATGATTCTGATTTCCAGAAACACTTTGAAAATCTTAATCTCACTGCCGAATCTAGGTCTAACACTCATTCTCCTATGGATTGTTCAGAACTTGGTTTCCTACAAACATCGCATTGCAATACTCCAGATATTTTTTCCAAAGAAAACTCTAATGATTTAACAAGACCAGATCCAAGCTTAACACCAAGTTCTATATTATCTGATGAGAGCAACTCGTCAAGAGTGACAGAACAAACACAAAACAATTCCAATGATTCCGCGGAATCATCACCAACTGGTGTCAGACGTTCAAACCGCATAAAGACAATCAGCAATTTAAAACAAAAAACAAAAGGGTATGGTTTAGTCAAAACACCACTAAAGAAAGCTTTAATTACTCAAACAAAGTTAAAACTAGAAGAATTAGGTTCAGATAGTCAAGAGAAAATAGAAACTATAACAAATGTTACTCCACACTCCTTACAGTTCCCTATCCCTTCAGAAATGCCTGTTAAAGTAAAATCTCGTTGGAGAAGGTCAAGTGAGCTTGAAATGGGCGCAAGCTCGCCTGCAAATTCACCGTTAGCTAGTCCAGGTCTACCACAACGTTTACTGCCTTTAACGGAGGAACAAACTTCTACCGACGTGGAACAGGCTGCTGTGGCATTATCTAAAGAAGCATACGATAAAATTATTGAAGAGAGAATGAATCAATTCAAACATTTGGATGAGAATGAGTATTTGTGTGATCGTATGATCAGCAGAGATACAAAGAAAATGATTTGTGATTGTTTTATGACCAAAGAAGAGTTGGAACGAGGAGAGCTTGCTTGTGGTGAAGACTGTCTCAATAGACTGCTTATGATTGAATGGTAAGTTACATTACATAATTTCTTTACATACTCCAGCAGTTTGTGATAGAAACATTTTAATTTACAGTAACTCTAGATGTCCAGTTGGTGACCGTTGTACCAATAGAAGATTTCAGAATAAGGAAAATGCGTCGCTTAAGGTTTTTTATGCAGATAAGAAAGGATGTGGAGTGGAGGCTGGTGCTGATATTTCATCGTAAGCATATTTTTAAATGTTTTCATAATGAAATAATAAGTGGTTTTGTATCTTGGCATTTTGCTTCTACATTTTCAGCCAAAAATCTCGGATAACATCAAGAATAGCTGGCAAAAGATAGCTGTACCCATTTCTTAAAAATAAATCTTTGTTATGATCGCGAATATAAGTTTGTTAACACTTACCTTTAGCCATAATATTAATAATATATATCAGTTTAATGTTTTTTTCAAATCAATCAATACTATTTGTTGAATGCTAAATAAAATATTCCGACCACATTAATGAGATTAGCACAAGTATCTATGTCAAGCAAAAGCAATTGCGAATTTATTGTATAAGTTTGTTTATGAGTTTATTGCTAATATTTATAATGCGAAATATAATGAGATTAAAAATTAATGTAACAATAACTCTCTGTTATGTACTATTTTTACCAGGATCAGTTAATCAACATGACTAAGCACTTTGTTTATATAACATTTTATACTATATGATATATAACCCTGAAGGGTAAGAAGAGGTTGTGGAGAGAGAGTGGTTTAAATACAGGGTGATTCTTAATGGACGGATCAAAAGTTTGGAGGAAGTACAGGATCTCAATAGCTATTTTTATGCCTAGAGTATGCGCCACGATTTTTAATGAAAATTTTTGATAAATCTTTTACGAATCACCTTGTACATTACGCAAACACGCTCTTAATTTATGGGTAGTCTTTATATCTCTACCCTTTACATCTAACACAAGTAACTTAACTAATGTTATTTAATACTAAATCTTAATGAGTAGCCTATCTGTTTTTCCAGACTATGTTCTATGTCTTTGCCAAATTTCAGCAAGATCTGTTGAGCTGTTATGAAGGTACCTTCAAACAAACATCTATCTGTTCATCCATCTAAACATTGACATTTATATGATTAGTAAAATGCAAGATTTTTCTTTATTACAGAGGTGAATTTCTAATGGAATATGTGGGTGAAGTATTGGACTATGAACAGTTTTACAAGAGAGCACAGTCATATTCTGATGAGAACAACCTACACCACTATTTCATGTCACTAAAAGGTGACACAGTTATTGATGCGACAGTGAAAGGCAACATATCAAGATTTATCAATCATTCATGTGAACCAAATGCGGAAACACAGAAGTGGACAGTCAATGGAGAACTCAGAATAGGGTTTTTCAGCAAACGGGAGATTCCAGCTGGTGAAGAAATCACTTTTGACTATCAGTTTCAGCGCTTCGGGTAAGTAATTTGGTAATATACAGTAATTTAGTACATATATATTGAATTATTTATTTTCTTGAAGTTGACAAGCCTATTTTTTATGTACTTTTACTACAAACTGGTGTAGTTAGATAACATTTCAACACAATACAGACCAGAAATAAAATTTTTGATGATAAGTACATACTTATCAAAAATTTGGGTTAAATACATTTCAATGTAGGATTTTTAAGAATAAATTGGCCAATACATTTTTGTACAGATATTATAATATCAACCATACGTCTGTTTAGAAGATGAATAGGTTGTTTAGATGTTGAATAGGCCATAAATGGTAGCGATTGATAATTCCAGTGAGAAGTGTTAGTGAGAGGAGTTAACAGGGGGTAACGGAGATATGTTTGTTGCATGCAGCAAGGTGGCGCAGCGGTGTTACTGCGGCGCTGAAAACTGTCGCGGCTGGATCGGTGCTGAACCAGACTCTGATGATGATGATGATGAAGAGGTATTTATCTTTTGAGTCATATGACGCCCAATGTACCGGTATAGGTTACCAAAGTCCTTTGTATGTCTATTGGTTGGTTGGCACTTTAGTTAGAAGAGTACTCTTATTCCTGATGTGCCAAAATAAAATTTTATTTACATTTTATATTATGTACTAACCTTTTGAACTTTTGAATATTGAATGAACATGCTTGATATCAATGTTAAATCAGTTGTCCATTTAAGACAATGTTGGAAAGAAAAAACCAATAACCAAAATAACTATAGTTCCTCTATATCTTTTTGGTTATTTAAATTAAATTAAATTTTCATATATTTCTTTAGGAAGAGGAAGATGTATCGACATCAAAGTCTGGTACTGCGGAATCAGAGGAGGCGCTTGCAACAGACGCCACGTCAGAGCAGCCACAGCCTCGTGTGCGCAAACCCAAACGTAACAGAAAGTACAAACCCAAAGCCCCCGATCTTGTTCAAGATGCTGATGTAAGTAATACTTATATTTATACGAATATTTTAAGTATTTAATATAAAAATTGACCTCATAATTTAACTAGGCCCGACACACAAAAGATGTGATTTGATTTTAGTTCATTTTTAGTACAGTATTTGTATGATTCATAAACAGTTCAGCTGTAGGTAATCATTGAATTCAATCATCACTAGATCGAGGAAGACCTAGAAGCACTAGGTCACAGCGGTGTCAAGAACCAGAGCCACACGCTGCGTCTTTCCCGTACTGTTGTGCGTGCGAAGACCAGACCCGCGCAGACTGCGTTGCTCCGACTGTTGAGGGATGCAGACTTACCATGTCGACGTCTCTTCCTTGATTATCGTGGACTGAGACTCCTGGCACCATGGTGTTCTGACGCCTCTACTGAGTTTAGGTCAGTAGAAATTTTAGTACTGGGAACCGATGGAATTACTTAAATCTCATATAATTGCACTGGGGAGAAGATTTTGTTAAGATATAAATGTATGAGAACATTTTAATTTTTTAGGTTGGAAATGCTTCTAACTGTGGACCGTTTGCCGATCACGAACAAAACAATGGTACAAGAGAGCCGCTTCTTTACGATCGTGGAGCGATGGCGCAGCGCCGGCGCCCCTGCACCAGATCCTGTATTCATTGATGAAGCTACTGGTAAAATATTTCTTTTGTTGAGTTACTGTCAAGAGGTTAAAGTTTTTTTAGTCAATGTTTTTTTTTCTGTAGAATAAAAAATAAAATAAAACGTAATGTGTTCAGGTCTGCCAGTAGAACTGGGAAATAGAACTGCTCAAGATGCAGCAGCACTGGCTGAGAAGAACAAAGAGAATGCGGCTATGTTGGAAAAAGTCAGAGATCTGTCCAGTCAGTTGCTAGAAAGATGGTCCAGTTTAAAGGTAAGTTACTCTTTACATTCATGGTTTTTTTTCTTAAACCCCCAGTAAGACAATTTGGAAAATTTTCAATTTTAATCCTTACTTCTAGGAGGTGTTCAAAATTCCTAAAAAGGAAAGAATACAGCAGATGAAGGAGCACGAACGTCAAGCGAACGTCGAGAGGCGCGCCGCCGACTCGAGCGGGTCGCGGGAGCGAGAGAGAGAGCGAGAGCGAGAGCGGGAGCGCCGAGACGAGCGAGAGAGACGGGATGAGCGGGACCATCGCGAGAGAGAGCGGGAAAGGGAAAGGGAGAGGGAACGAGAGCGCGAGAGGGAAAGGGAGAGGGAGCGCGAACGCGAGAGAGAGCGGGACCGTGACCGCGACAGGTATAGGGAGCGCGAGAGAGAGCGAGACAGAGAACGAGACAGAGAAGACAGAGATAGAAGGAAAAGAAGGAGCAGCCCAGAACCGAGAAGAAGTATACGGTATGTTGATTTATGTCGAAAAACGTATTATTGTTATATTATATAAATGTTATAGAACATTGCAGTCGTTAACCTGCGATGTTCTTGCTGTGAGTTAAATAGTTTTATTGCTGCAGTAAAAAATAATTAGGTACTGTATGATACATAGTTTGAACGAGCGTGTGCTGGCTGCTGTGCCCCCGCTGAGCAAGGAGGAGCGGCGTCGTGCCTTCGCGGAGGCGGCCGCTGCGGCGGAGGAGGCACGACGCACGCGGGACCCTCCCACATGGCCTTACTGGACACAGCATGATGCCTTCCAACAGGTACCACTGAAGAATGTTCTTTTTGATGGCTGGTGGTAACGGAGAGTACCCACAAAATTTTGTGTACCTGCCCATGATATTAGAATTATTTCATATATTCATACATATATTAAATGTGTTTCTTCCGTATAGATGTTCCAGCCTGGAATGATGGGTGGTACACCAAACATGTTGGGTCAGATGATGCCGGGTCTGGTACCAGGGATGCTGCCGCAAGAGTCTCAGAGCGAGTGGATCACACCAAGCGGGGAGTTCCAGGGCCAGCCCGCTTTTGTTCCGTCTTTCCCGGGAGCACAGTTCTGTATGCCACAGCCTAAGTAAGTTGCCACTATCGACTATCTGAAATTATTAAATATAATACTTTCTGAACTTTTTCCAAGACTAATCATATTTTAAAACAGCATGATGGGCTTCGGAATGGGCGGCTTCATGTTTGGTCAACAAATACCGCCGTCGTTCCCCACGAGGCCCGGCCAGGTGCCCACGCAACCCACGCAGTCGGGTATGCCCACGCAGCCTGGTATGTCGGCGCAGTCCACGTTGCCCAATATGCAGACACAAGCATTGCCCTCGTTACAAATGCAGGCACTACAAAATGCTCAATCTACTCAAGCGTTACAGAATGCTAACAAGGTAAAAATCATGTAATTCCAATTACACTGTTCTATGATGTTGTTAAATTACGATGATCTTTGATGTTATTCTTATTAATATTATAAATGCAAATGTTTGGAATGTGTGTATGTATGGATGGATGTGTGTAAGAAGGTATGTCAATGTCCATTGATGCCTATAAGGTTTTATATGCGTTGATGAAGTGTCAAAAAGTTTTTGGTTAAAAAAATATATTTGTGTTTTGTCGTCGTCAGATGTCGCTGGGGGCTCCAGGAGGTAATAAGGAGGTGGTACTGCCGTCGCTGTGGCGCAGCGCAACTGACGCGCGTGGCCGCACTTACTACTACCATGTTAAGTTGCGTCGCCCGCAGTGGCTGCCACCCGCCCCTGACCCCGGTATGTACTACGCAACCACCATAACATCACAATAACATGATCACCCCAGTGTTGTCCGCGTCCACAAGTCTGTTTTAGCTTATTGTACGATTTCCTTCGCAAAAAATGTGAAATGTGTATTTAATTTTATATGTAACAAGTGAAAAATAGTGATGATGAATGTATTTATAGAGGAGAGTTCATCGGAGGAGGAGGTGGAGGCGATGAGCGCGCTGGACACGGCCGTGGTGCGTCGCCAGGTGAAGGGCAAGCTGGTCGAAGGAGTTAATGGCATTTATGAAGGTAACAAACCCATTTAGACTGTTAACTGTTGTTTAATATATTTATTTTACGACTAGTGGTAAAATAAAAAGTAGCCTTTAATATGACCGCGTTCATCAGCTACCTTCCCGTCAAAGTGACATCAAAATCGCTCCAGCCGTTCCGGAGATAATCTTCCGGGTAACCAACCGCAGCCTTGCCGACAGACAGACAAATGTTTGCGATATATTGCAGTTTGCGTCAATATGATTTACAACAATTTACTTTTGAATTTTATAGATTCTTTAATTATATTAATAGTTTTGGAACATTTGGTTGTAATTCATATTTATTTGCAGTGATAAAAGAGGATTCTCACAATGGCCTGATACCGGATCACGCGCTGGTGTCACTAAAGCCAAGGAAGCGGCGACCCGGCCTCGTGTCTGAACGTCCCATCAGTGTGAGTTGAACAGAATATAACAACTAATTGTTTCTTTACTACATCTATATTTGGTGTTTCTTCCTCTCTGTCGCACAGAGTAGGGTGTGAATGAGATAACGCTATTAATGTAAGGAATTAGTTGTCTAAGATTGTAAAGTACTCAAGAAATATTTTATGATCGCCGATGGTAGAAAAAATATATAATAATTTACTGTGATTTTTTTACTACCCCTAACATTTGATTTTCACAATAAATTTTACTCTACAGCCACGCACTGAGGAGGACAAGTTAGCGGGTCGTATGGAGGTAAAGCGGTACAAGCAGACGAAGGAGAAGCTGCGCCGGCGCAAGGAGCGGCTGCTGCAGCGCGTGCGCATGCTGGCAGCCGCACGACCCCGCAAGCACCAACTCAAGGTATAGACTGTGATGTTTATTACTCGTGAAATGGAAAAAGTAGCTGAACAATCAAGCTGATAGATGTTTAAAATATTTTATTAATTTTCAATAAAACCCTACAGATCGCAGAGATAGAAGATTTCGAAACTGACTCTGAAGATGATTCCGATGACGGTACCAACGAGAAGTCCATCAACCTTGTTTCATCGCCGGCGGACGAGGTCGAGGGTCAGGAGGAAGAGGAGGTGGAGAGCAAGGAGGCGGTGGACTCGGAGGAGGTGGCGCGCAGGATCAAAGAGCAGTTCCGCAGTAGCATGGCGCGAGTTATGGTGCAACATCTCAACCCGTACCGACATTCGGATGCTCCCGCTGGCAGGATCACGTGCACAGCAGACTTTAAACATCTTGCTAGAAAGGTAACCTACAGTTCCTCAGATAACATAGTAACATAGCTAAACAATGTCATGCATAGATTACGTATTTTATAAAAAGGTTCAGAAGCTTTTTTATCCATGGACAAGATTTTTTTTTAGTTGCAAAATTGGCTTATACAATATTGTTGAATGGGTATATATAAAGTATTTGAGATAAAAACATTGGAAATTTATTTGCTGTTTGCTGTGAAGTCCTTCGTGTTTTTATTACTAACTTGTCTAGAATGCAAAAATATTGTATCTTGAAATAATCTTTTTTTATTTCACAGTTAACACATTTCGTGATGCTAAAAGAATTAAAACACTGTCGGTCAGTGGAAGAGCTGATAGTGACTGATTCTGTGAGGACCAAGGCTAAGACATTTGTGCGTAAGTACATGGCCAAGTTTGGGCCGGTGTACCGCAGACCGCCCGAGGAGGCTGACTAGCGAGAGCTTGCGCGTTATTACAACGCGATCAAATCAAACTGTGAAAAACATTACAAAGTGATTATTGATAAATTTTTAAAGTGATTTAACTGTGTAGTGAACAAAGTGCAACATTGTGATTTGTGACAAATTAAAAAAGTAAGAAATCATCTCGGATAAAGGTAAATCATTCCAATTTACTCAGGTTTCTGTAATTAGTTAAATTTTAAATTAAAATGAGTTTTTTGATGAAGATTTTGGCTTTGTTAATTTTATTTTTGAATTAATACAGTAAATTGTGATTCAATGTCTCATTTTATCGTCATATCTCATAAAATCGTAAAAAATAGAATATGCAATATGGAAAAAAAAAATATAAATATTGGCTTAACAATTTAGAAGTAATTGAATCAATAAAATGACTTCAAATTGGTTACTTTGATAATGTAAACCCCAACAATATATCGTGATGAAGGCAGATAATTTTCTTTTTCATATTATGTTCTCTTTCACTCAGATATGCCTGTCCTTCTCACACGATGAACTGTGCACAACACATCAAAGAGCGACAGAGATACAACTAGAAGTAATAGAACTTTTTCCAACATTAATTGTAATAAATTACTAGTTGGATGGAAAGATGATGTGTTCAAGATTTGTTAATAGAAAAATTGTAATAAAAATCAATTTGAACAGTGTAAAATGTATTATTGCTATTCTCGGTTTTGACAAATTCATCACAATTTTTATATTCCAGACCATAGATATATAACCTATAGATAATCTGTAGATCAAAAAGACGAAAAAAAGTCCTCTACAATCTTTTTGGTAATAAATTTATAACACATTTTGAAAATCCACTTTCAATTAGGCATCAAACTTTTATAAAATACTCCATCTATAGATTATACATCTATGTTTAAGACATTTTAGTATAATTAAAAGCATAATCTCCATGATTAAGAATATTTGGACTTATTTAATGACAAAATGTTTTTTTATTAATAAAATTATTAAGATAAAAATCTGTAAATATAGGTTATTAAGTGATAGGTTAAAACAAGTCACTCCTCATTTAGGTATAATCGTGAAATAATGACGAATAAGAAAAATAATTAAATAAAATAAAATGAACACTATTTTTAAGCGAGTAATACAAATTATGAAATTTGTAACATGATCTCTGACTCGCAATGGATTTATTTTGATTTTTTTTTACTTGAATAAGCAATTATTGGAGATAATTTGGTTTTTATTAAGTACAGTATTAAATAAAGATAATTGTTTGAATGCTTTCAACACGGATTTAGATTAAACATCTATATAGAATGATTTGAATAGAAAAGCCAGAACATAATTTTCTTTTAAACATACTTTTTGAAAATTACATTTTTATGAATAAACTATAACAAAAAACTAATTTACATATAAAAAGATTTTTTATTTCTTCGTGACAAAGTATTGGATAATATTGACCATATTTAAGAATCAGTCAATTATTAAAATTGGTAACGTAATTTAACAAAGTAGGTCATATAGGTTTTTTATTATTTAAGGATTTACTTAAAAAAAAATCATGTGCAACTTTATTCTAAATTGTACTATTGTTAAATGTGAAGCTGAGACTTTAATTGACATATTATATGTTATATGTTTCATATTAAACATATCAACGTTTTATTACGACCTTGTGATACCAAGGTGACATTGTGCCTTATGGCAAACATTTGTATGAATTGGTGACGAGCCACACTTGATTTAGCCTGATATAATGATACTTTACTCTTTTTATGATATTTAATTCCCACGAATTATTAAGGTACGATTTCACTATCATTTGAACACCTCTTTTACCTTTTAATATTTCTATTATTTATTATCCTTAGATTTACTTGTATTTAAAACTTGCAGGTTTAATATTTTCATGTTTCGTGAAGTGTTAATGTATGAATTATAAATTAAATAATGAATTTTGTGTATGATAATAATGTCCCATTTGTTATTTTGGTGATTACTTAGTCTTTTGTGGAAACGTACCTTAAACCATAGACTAAATGTCACGGGAACAGAGTAAAGCAAGAGGAGCATTGTTATTAATCTTTGATGACAAGTTGCTCGTAGTCTGTGTATTGTCCATTGTGTAAATATTGTAAATAATAAAATGCGAATAAGTGAAATCATAAAAAACCTTTCACTATCAAAGTTACTATTATTTTTATTGATTGTGGCTTGTGAGATTTGAGATGTGAATGCCAATGGGCTATGTGAACGAAGAAAGTCGGAACAAATAAAATGTTATTTCTTTTAATATATTCTCGTTTTATTTTCAAACCAATATAGAATAACAATTACAGAGGTTATTTGTTGTTGGCGATTTAAATGTCAAGGAATTTTTTACAAGTTTCCGTATATTCCTTCATTTTACTGCACTGAGCGTCCTGCTTCCATGATGAACACTCCTGGAAAATTGAGACAAGTGATATAACAAATGAACGTATCTCAATTTCTACATGTTTTTTCTTTTTGGCTCCGAATTAACGATATTAAGAAAACGAAAAAGAATATGTTATTCAGATGCTTAAAGTTACGTCAAAATCGATTACTGCTTCATAACCAAAACAATGATAAATACCATACTTTAGATGTATGGATGGATGGACGTTTGTTAAAAGGTATCTCTACAAATGCTGCATGAATAAAATTTGGCATTGATGGAAAATAATGACTGGAAGAACACATAGGCTAGTAATTAAGTTATTTTTAAGTCCATGCGGACGGAATCGGGGGCGAAATAGCTAGTAGGATAATAAAACAAACTCACGAAAATCATATTAATATAGACGCATAAGTAGAAGTTTAGAGGTTCACAGGCGTCGTCACTGGCGCTAGAGTCGGCCATTAACTCTATAAATTTCCCACCAGAACAGTTGCGTCTCACTCTCTCTATACTTGCTTTCTCACTCGGGTACTCTTTCTCCCATTGATTTAACAACTCCTTCACCTTTTTGTCATTAATCTTATCATCGACTAACAATCCGTTTTCTTCTGCGAGACATTTAAAGAAATCACACTAAAAAAAAATGAAGATTTAGTTAACTTTTTAATAAAATTATTTTTCGTGACTTGTTTGCTTCAAATGTTGGGCGTACGGCCAGCTACATTTTTTAGCATTGATAGCAGTCCGTTTATGATAACTTTTAGTACATCTTTATATTATTAATGCAATTGTAGTAACTTTAAGTATTATAATATATAGTACATACCTGCATGTCTGCGTCGTCTTTGCATTTTGTGGATTCGCCACTGTCGTCCCACATTGAGCCCTCGCAGCATTTCTTGTCATCTATCTACAAATTACTCTTAACTTTAATTTGCTCTGCTGGTTAATTAAATAAAAAGATGCTCCCTCACTTTTATGAAACAAAGCGAAGTTGAATAACGGTATTCGAACCCAAACTATTGGTTATTGGCGGTTCAAATTGTGTCGCAGTTTTTAAATCGGACAATCAATATTGTCATAGTTATTTTCCACACGATTCTATGCTCAAGTGCATACTATAATGTTTTTGCGACCATTGCATTTAAATGTTAGCACAGAAATTATGGCTAAATTATACGAGTACGGAATGTTAAAGGTACGGAACTCTTTATTGACAACCAGCTTCAATAGCAATAGGAAACTTCTGATAAGAAAACAACAAAACGATAGCGTAATTGTTCCATCCTTTCAGGTGTGCGATGACTAGGATAATAGAGATACATTTTTAAATATAACATTTCAGTATTTTGTGATTTTTTTAAATTATATTATTCTTACTCACTGTGCTATTGAAAACTGCCTGACACGCTTCATTCTGTTCTGTAGAATCCGCAAACACCTGGTGTAGATTCAAACATAAATAAAACAGTTTAAGAAAGTTGACAGAATATAAACAAATAATGAAAACATTGAAAACTTACCTCACAGTTAACAAATAACAAAATAAAAGCAATGAAGTACACAGCCGCCATCTTGCGAACTCGACTGATATTCTTATGAATAGTTTCGCGCGTTGAATACGTTTATATATGTTTGGTGGTTGTGCATAATTTCCTATTCTATCCCACTAATGGTGCCATATTGTGAATGGCTTCACAAATTATCTCCATCGTTGAACATGACCTTGAATCAGTGTTACGTGGAAAATGTTGAAAATAATGTGACGTTTTTTGATGTACCTACCTAATAATTAAATATAGTTCAACTGTGACATTCTATGTCGGTTAGCAGTAATTTTTTTTATTCCAAACAAACGTAATTCTTTTTGTATATTATAAGGTGACAGCCGAGCAATAGGCCATCCTGAATACGCCTGAAAAGTGAAGCGACCGCTTTCTATGGACATCCGCAATCACCTACCTTCAATCAACGTAGGAAGGGATACAGAGAAAAATGATAAACCCCCTTTCTATAGTTTTTATGTTTCTCTATGTCAATCTAACTATTGGGATTGTAGGCATCTTAGTAGTTTATATATCTAGTTTTTTTTATCTAGGTAGAGGGGACAGTTTTTACATTTTATGTATACTTGTTTAGAAGGTGGAAAAACACGGATTTTTTTACAACAATTATATTTAAGTAAACAAAATCAATAGTTGATGAATAATATTTAGTAAAGTTAGGTTAAAATTTTGTGCACAATGTGTAATACTAATATAATCCATTGAAGCAAACCAATTTTAATATTTTATACCTAGTTCTAGGCTAGGGATGGTGAACCTTTACGTATTTGCCATTAATGATATACGTTCATTGGATTGTTATCCCTTATTTAAGTCTTGGAAAATATCTAAAAATCAATGTTTCTTAGCAGTTTGTTGCTGTCTCCAGAATTCTTCTCTGTTCTCCAAAAATCTGATAGCTTCTTCAGCTTGTTTCATCACGACGTTGTTTTTCTTATCAGCAATCGCTAAATCGGGATTCTTGAGAAGGTTTTCTAGGTAGATTTTATCAGACATCAGCTGTCCCAACACAGGTCGTGATGATTTAGGGCTCTTTTTTTTCGCTGGTTTTTTTACATGTTTCACCGCCCCGATGGTGTTTTCTATCGCCTCCTGGATATAATAAACTTATATTATAATTCACTACACAACAATCTTGTCAAGTAAATATTTAATTACCATATAAGTTTTTTTTTTGGAGCGTCGGTGGCTCAGGGTTCAAGCACTTGACTTGCAAACTTCAGGTCCTGGGTTCGAATCCCGCTATGTGTTTTTCGAGTTCCGATTTACATACGTACATTTATCTGACATTCTTACGGGGAAGGATAACATCGTGATGCAACCTGCACATATCTGAGAAGAAATTCAAAGTGCGAAGTCAACCAACCCGCACTTGGCCCGCGTGGTTGACTTTGGTCTAATCACCCTTAACTTAGGATAGGCTCCAGATTGAACCTATGTAACAATGTACCTTTTTTTTCAGAGGGGAATGCTTTATGCATACTCCGCGCCCCGGGGGGGACGCGGTAGTTATGTGGGATTCTCTTCCGGATGGAAAGCATACCCACTAAACCCCTCTGTTCCTCCAACGCATCGGGACGGGACCACGGGCACGCTTTCGCTCTCGTAACAATGTACCTACTCTTACCATGAGATTTTATGCTAAACATATAAATTATATAATACTCATTTTCATAATTTCAGTTCAACGTAACGATTGGATTTTCAACAATTTCATACCCTCCCTAGTTCCACCAACGTTCTTTTTACAAGTTGAAATATGTAATGATTTTAACACCTGAGCCTTCTGCACTCCAAGTCTGAAGTCGTTCAAATCAGGTCTGGTACTAAGTCCACGATGGTAATGGACTAGACTGAGTTCAAACTCTCCGCAGTAGTAGAGTGCCTCCGCTTTCTGCAGCAACGCGCGGGCATGCTGCGGGTCCAGCCGAAGTGCAGCCTCCGCGTCCGACAGAGCCAGCTGGGGCTCCCCTAGTAGCAGGTAGCACTTACTGCGCGCTACGTACGCCGCCTTCTCTTCTGGAGCTAGCTCTATCGCCTGGAATAGACAGTCTTTTGTGGAAAAGCTACATCAGTCGTTTCAAGGTCGACCCACACGGTTCTTCGAAAGAAGATTAGGTAATCAAAGGCTAACTTTATAGTTGAGTCAGTCCTTACAGCAGTAAGGACAATCAAGGACGTGTACAGTAAGGACAATGTCCATCAGGAAAGAGACCGTTCTCTATCGCTATTGAAGGCATGCATTCGAAGGCATTTGTAGACCAACCACTACTTATAAAAAAATTTAATCTATAAAACCAGTCCCTTTTTAAATGTACGCCTTGCTTTATTCCAAATAAGGAAAACAACTTCCGTGTTCTTTTAAGTTTTGGTCTCGGATTTATTTAAATATAACAAAAGAAGTCACGGATTACTTAACACTAGAGATTTTTTTCTAACTGTTCGTAATTTGATTGTTCAAGCGAACATTGAGTAGTTGCCAACCTTGGAGGCTTTATCATCTTAGGCTACTTATGAAGTATTGAACTGACAAATCATTTAGAGTTCATTTGAAGATTCTCAAAAAATGCAATGTTTGATCTAGCATTATTTGATTTACACGTGTATCGTAAAGTTAAAGACGTTCAGTTACTAGGCAACCAACACCTACTTAACAATAGCCATATTACAAAATCATGCTTTATGATAACTTGATGATTTAGTTACTATGATTTTAAAAGCTTCCATTTTTACTTACGTTTGTGTTGTTATTTAAAAATTCTACGTTGATTTAGCCAACGACTTCACAAAATATTACTTCTTCGGGAAGCTATGAAAAATACCTTATCAACGAACGAGAGGGCTGTGCGATAGCGTTCTCTTGTCATCTCAGCGCGGGCGAGTGCAAGCAGCGTGCCGGCGTCGGCCTCTGCCGGCAGCTGGAGCGCACTGCTGCGCTCCGCTTGGTCCTTCATGTTGAGTGAAAGCTTGATGTCTTTGGAGCCCATGACCACGGCCGCCGCACGGTCCTTGTCTGTGTACAATTCCTCCTCCCGTCGACGTCGCTCTCGCTTCACCTTTCGCCTGTAGCTCTTCTTCTTAGGCTCCACAGACTCCTTCCTTTCCTTCGTCGTTTGCTTATCTTCTTCTCCAGACTCACTTTTCTCAGCCGACGCCGGCGCTCGCTTGCTGATCGAAGCTTTAGGTACAGGTAGCTCCTCTTCATCATCACCAATACCAACTCTGACGAAACTTTGCAGGAATTCAGCATCTTTAGTTGGCCCGAGAATGGAACGGATTTGAGCTTTTGCCGTATCCTCGTTCTCCATTATGGTACCGAATAGTCCTTACGTAAAGGTGTCGCGAATGACACCCTGACAATATCGACGCCCTCGCTGTCGTAGTCATAGCAACGGGAAGTGTTTTCGCACACTCACCACACGCGTTTAGTGCCACAAGTTTTCTTGCAAGGGAAATACGTGTTTGAAGGAAGGAAAAAGTTTAACAACTCAAAGTATTACATACAATTTGCATGATACTATAGAAAGTTGTTAACTATAATTCTTTTCGTCTATTAAAAACTTGTTCATGTACTAGACAAATGAAAAAAAAACTAATCTCCATTTGGCTCGAGACCCGTTGTTTTCCATTGGACCTACCGTTCAAACGGTCCATAGGATTTTTTTCTAATTAGACCAATTGAGTCCAAGATAATTTATTTCCCTAGTGGGTAAAACCTAACTGGAAGCACCCCACTATTCATGACATCTATTAATGACACACCTTCAGTTTTGACTGTATAGAAGGAAACTGAATTGTATGTAATGGAAGGAAATTGATTGTACCTTGGTAAGCGAGGTCAGAGCTCTTTCATAGTTTCCGTTTTTGGAGTGTCCAGCCGCTTCGTCTCTGTGCTTTTTAGCTTCTACTGGGTTGCTGGACTGCTGCTCCGGTTCCTTGCCTCGACCCATTCTCACCTACACCCATTTGATTTATATAACATCATCGAGCAGAAAACAACAGATGTGGATAAAATTGCCTAATTTATTATAATTAACTTAAAGCATGTAATTACGAATACGGAGAGACAATATTAGATGCTAAATTTTCATGTCGAAATTTTGTTGTTTTATATTTCTGGTAGCAATAAATATTATAATTATCGTTTTCTAATTAAAAAATTTCCGATCAAACATAGATTTTTTTTAACACAGAATGGGGCAAATGAGCTACGGGAACACCGAGGCGTTCATGGATTCCCATGGACATCAGCAATATTTATATTTATTTTATAACCTTACAATCATACATGTATGTTACAAATAAGCTAATATTTACGACCTTCGTTGCCTCCTTGCTTCTCAAGTAATAAATCTCTACATTCGCTAAGGCTCATGATCTGATAATTTTAATCGCCATACGACCGGCTTCCGTGATTGAACACAATTTATACCAACCTATCTATAATCTTTGCTTTTAGCATGAAATAAGATAAAATACTACGACATTAATAATGTTATCATGATATGTATGAAGTGTATTTTATTTGCCAAATTAAGAAATTTCTCTAACTTCTTTTATAGGTAGATACCCTTTCCTGTTGTGGGTCGCGTCTTATAAAACTTGATACGACTTAAAACTGCCCCCTTAGTGTAACTAACATATTTTGGTCATGTCTGTAGACGTAATGACGAGTCCATCGAGCGCTTGGTGGTGCAGGGGAAAGTGGAGGGCACCAGACCACGGGAAAGATCGCCTGTGAGGCGCCTGTGAGGCGGCTATAAATGTCCCCATACACCAATTTACTAAAAAGGCAGCGACTAGGGAGGAGTGGGATCGCCTCGTGAAGCAGGTCACTGATACTTGATTACCACAACCAGTCTAATGACTGCAACGACGAAGACGAAGAAGAAGAACCAACATATTATAAAAAATAAGACAACTATTCTATAGTAATTTTTCAGCTCAGGTAAATAAGATTTTGTCTTTCATGGTCAAGGCATCGTTTGAAACATCGTTCTTTTATTATTTAAATTATTAAAACGTGTACCAAGTTATTATAAACAATATAAACAATTTATTGTAAGTAGACAAAAGTTAACGACGGACAGTTAAGTTGTATATAGTACAAATTAACGTAGTTCGTTTCCAAGTTAAATAATCAATTTAGTTACTGCGTCCCGCAGCCGAACGACATCGCTTCCATTTTAAGGTTGCTATTTTCTTGGTTACAATTGTAATTTAGTTACTCATGATCAAAGTATTAACAACAATTATGCTGAAGGTTGGATATGGAAAAAGGTCTTTTCTCTGTTGACTTTATATCCCCTTTCTATCCTTGTAAAATAGAGGAAAAGGGAAGGGACAAGAATTAGACTTCTCAATGTTTACAAATGCAATTAACCCTTATGTTCATTTTGTATAGTATACCATACATACAACTTTATAAAAATATACGATCACTATAAAATAACTTTTATCTTATGTTTTTTTAATCTTTTTTTTTGCTTTTCTTCAAAAAAGAAATCTTGCCACAATAAGGGTTAAATAAAAATAGTCGTTTTTGAAATCGACGCTGATTTCAGTTTCTTATTTTTTGGATTGTGTTTGTGGCAGCCCTAGTCAAAAGCTGATTATCATGAATATTATTCATGCAACCCTGTCGACCATGGGAATCACGAAATGCTACACTTTTCATCATAATGCAGGAAAAAGTTTCTACAACAGAAAATTAGACAGCAATCAACGTTCTTACGTTTCTTTTAATAAGTTTATTATTTTTAAAAATCTTTAAAATTATGAATTAAGACTATTGATTTTTTTCTTCTAGCCTTTAACCAGATACATAAAGATTTTTTTTTATTTTTCGTGACTAATGTCGAAGAACTTTGTAACGACGAAAAGAATCCTTACTTCTTGTAACGTCTTTTATCAAACTACAAAAACATATATCATTTATATTTAAGCGTTTCTCAGTGGCAGAAACTCATTAAAACCCTTTGATTAATAGGCCAAGTGGTAAGATTACAAGTTTGATATATCCAATTACAAAAGCTGTTAAATCCGGCGTAATTTTCTGAGCGCGCCTAAATCGCTGTCATCGCGCTGTCAACCAGCTATTTCGTGTTCGTCACGAACGCGCCAAAATGAACAATGAATAATGGCCGACTAGAAAAATTAAAAGCAAACGCTAATTTTAAATAGCTATCAGTTTGCTATAGCCGAAAGATTTTTTTATCTTACTAATATAAATGCGAATGTTTGGATGGATAGATGGATGGTTTTAAGAAAGTAATTTTTTTATTATATTTGGCATGGATGTAGAACATGACCGGGGACAACGCATTAGTCTACTAAAATATTTATTTTAATTGCGCGAGAACAAAGTCGCGGGCGATAGCGATGTATAAATATTTTTTTTAAATTTACATTTATTTGAGATTAAGAAATTACTCGGATTCATTTTACATTCAATAGAAAAAAAAATATTACAGTTAACCTTAAATACACGATTATCTATCATCCGATATACAAAAAAAGGTAATTTTCATAACTGATTTATGAGTGGTGCAGAATTTTTTTTCTTTCATTGGTCTGAGCATTAGCATAGAATACCGACATGCGATCAACTCTAATATAATTTAATTTATCAATGCGATTTGAATGACGTCTCCGAATTTATCATTTTGTAAGGAGATCACGCGAGGTCGATTCGTACTGAGTTATGGCCACATAACAACGAAATTACTAAAAAAAACGTCGACGCTTATAATGTTAAAATAATGTTTTTTTTTTCAAAAGCACAGATAAAACTCTCCCGGAATATTGTATTTTTGTGATATAGGGTTGTTTATGCTTCTTACTAATATTATAATTGGGAATGTTTGGATGGATGTTTATTAGAAGGTATCTTCAGAACGAATGCATTGATTCGTTGAAATTTGGCATACTATGCTAGGGCGATTAATAGTTTTTTTTTTAGTTCAGTGTGAACGAAGTCGCGTGCGACAGCTAGTTTCTTATAAAGCTAAAATTGTTTACAAATATGTAAGTGAAAAGTTTTTAGCTGGAGTGTCTTAAGATTACTTTTGAAACTAAAATGTATACAACAGTATTTACAACAATTATTTTTGTAATTAAAAATATCATTGTTTATTTTGCTATGTTAGAAAACATATTTATTTTCATATTATAATTATTTTATATTAAATTTAAAAGTTCATCTTACTCCACAAACACTATTTAAAATCTTTAATAAAAAAAATCTTTCTAATCTAATTTAATCATCATGATCATCAGCTTCTGTCTGATCATTGCTGTACATAAGCCTTCCCCGATCTGATAAATCTAATTTAGGCTAATTCTAAGAAAATCAACAAAAAATTGGCTTTAAACACATTATAGTATAAATTTAAAAAGTTTGAAAATTCAAACGCGACCGAAAACAATTAACAATATGTAATTCTTAACTTCAAATATAATTACGTAATATTAACAAATAAACTTACCTTTGAAAATAATTGGCAAAGAAAATTTTAAGTCTTAAAAACACAAGTAAAATTTCTTAAGAGAACATTCAATAATGAAACAAAACACTTCCAGTAAAATAGTTTGTGCCCTGTACAAATGGGGTTGAATCGCGGACTGAGCAAGAATACTGAGCTTGAAGCAACTAGTGGAAAGGCTTTTAAGCATTAATGAAAGCTTTCGCATGCTACGCGGAGCTTTCAGCTTGAAGCTACGCTTTCCTAAGCAAAAGTTCGTCTCGTGTTGACAACGCTAAACTTAGCTAATTAGGTCGTTTATTTTTTATGTGTTGGTACTACTGAAACACATTAATTGGTTTATTTTGTTTATAACAAAAGTAAATAAGTCCTAAAGAAATCGAAAAATTATAACTACGGAATTTATTATATAAATAAGATTAAAATAATGTGTATGTGTGTATAATGTAGTAATAGGTTATTGAACTTTTTGGAGTGTTAAATATTTTTTTAACTTCAAATATTAAAATTCAATGCTTATAGTATCAAAAACATATCAATTTGAGCATTTTAAAACGCAATTCCGAGATTGTCAAATATCTGAGTTTTTATAATTAATTAATACTTGTCTTTTATTTTATTATTGTGTTTTTTTCTGTCACCGACATTTTTATTTTCCTATGCTGTTAGCTTTTAGTAAAGTAAATGCAAAGTCATTTCCGTATTAAAGTTTTGTTCAAACGAGAGTTTTATTTACTTAGACTGCATTATTTCGAAGTTGGATATTGCGTAAGTTATGTCACGCAAGAGTCGAAACAAATTTTTTACTTGCTATTTTTGTTTGC